CTACTCTATGCCCTGTGACAAAGAACTATTGGGCACAATGGGACCAGTTGAAACTTGAAAGTGGTATTCTTCTCCGGAGATGGGAAACTGCAGATGGGAAAGTGAAGACCTAGCAAACGGTTGTGTTGCATCAATCCCATGATACTGTAACAGGAGGACATCTCGGAGTTAAGAAAATATTGAGTCATCTACGACACAGATTTTACTGAATAGGTATAGACAAGATGTGGAAGAATGGTGCAGAACACGCAGTACATGTTGTGCTAAAAGGGGACCCAAGCATAAGGGACATGCTTCAATGAAGTTATATCAAGTTGGTGCACCAATGGAAAGAGTAGTCGTCGACATTGATGGTTCTCTGCCCCAAACTCGTGCTGGAAACAAGTACATTTGTGTGGTGATGGATTATTTCACCAAGTGGCCGGAGGCATATGCAATACCAAATCAGGAAGCTACATTGCATCCTGCATGGTAGAGGGGTGGGCTTGCTTCACTTCTATCTTAAGTTGTGGACTGTCCAAGGCATCTACGAACTGATCCCTCAGAAAGAACTTGAGGAGATCGGGTGGTGCAGTTGGGTAGGCCTTGTGTGCCATGCTTTCCAAGTTTTGTGCCAGCTCTTGCAGGCTCTCCCCTTTAGCACGGATTCTCGTCCTAAACCTAGCCCTGTAGACTTCTGACTGATTCTGGGTTCCGTACCTGAGTTTCAGAGCCTCTACCAGTGCTCTATAGTTGTGTCTGTTGGCTGCTGTCAACTGTCCAAGTATTTCCAGTGGTTGTCCCATCGAATTCTTGTGGCTTCCTTCGCACTGGATCACTCCTATTACTGACATTCATATCTGGGATGTGACTTCTAACGGGACTGAATATGTCTGCATTAGGGTTTAGATGCAGGCCCTGTAAGGGGCTTGCCATTGTCTGGGGCTGATTAAGTCGATGGTCAATGTATCCTCCTTGTGTAAAAGACGATAAATCGTCTCTTAATGTATTTAATTCGCTCTTAAATTTACTAATGTTTTCCGTTTGTACTTCTTGTTTCCTTTCTTGTTCCAGTTGCCACTGTTGTAGTCTCTCTTCTTGTTTCTTTTCTCGTTCTTCTTGTTTATTTTCTTTCTCCTCCAACAACTGCTGTAATTTCTCTTCTCGTTCTTCTTGTTTCTTTTCTCGTTCTTCTTGTTTCTTTTCTTTTTCCTCTAACAACTGTTGTAATTTCTCTTCTCGTTCTTCTTGTTTCTTTTCTTGTTTTTGTATTGCTGCCATCAAATCTGCTAAGCTGTAGTTTGATTTTCCGCCTCTCGTTTCCATCTTCTTATCTCTTTTTTTTTTCTAACCCACTCTCTGACACCAATTTGTTACATCTCCGTTTGTTAATTGATTTTACGTAACTTCGTTCCGACGAAACTTTAGCGACACAAGTCCTTACTTGATAAAACTGGTTTATTCTTTCTGAATATAACTTTACCGATACACTTATTTTCAACAGTCGCTCTATAACAAACGTTTTAACAACGAAAGTTACTTCAACGATATTTTCTGACTGCAGTTCAATTACTCACTACCTACACACACATTGTCCCGTCACGTTGTGAGCATCTTGTATATATATACCAGACAAACATATATCTAGTAAATGCTAGAGCACTCCCGAAGGAACGGGATAGTTCTAGAAAGCAGGTGGCGTGACACTAGTCACGTGACCTCGCTGACGCAACACTTATTTCTGCCTGTATTTTTGAGATTACAAAACCAATAGTAACACAGCCATGCCTGAATACTTTAAAAAACAAAACAAAGACACATATTAACTTCTTGTGAAACTTTTATTAAACTTTTTTCACCACATGATTGAAAAAAAAGATAATAATCTAACTAAATGAAACTTATTAGATATTTTCATAAAATATGCCAACATTCTAAAGTTTCAGAGCACATTTACAAAAATAATCTATATCATATTAATTTCTTTAATATTATACGCTTCACTTTTACCACCGAAAATTTTAGCTTATAGCAAAAGTCTACTTTGACATCACTCTAGCACCATTTCAGGTAAAAATAAAAAATAATAACTTAAATCAATATTAAGAGCAGGAAGTACATTCAAACTTACAATGTTAATGATGACACTTTAGTTTAAGAAAATAAAGAGTGAGAGGTTCAGTTTTTAAAAGGTAACTTTTAATACAACTGAAGATGTTTTGACAAAACTACTGACAGTAAACCATTTTCAAAACAATTTTTTTAACTTTCTTACTGGTTTTCACAGACTTCATCACAGTTATGCCATACATGTCATTTATTAATAGTGGTGATTTCTAATTTTACACTAAGCTTCTTATGCTGTTAATCTGAATAATTCACTTAATGTTTACAGTGATCCAACTATATCAATGACAGTAAAGACACATGATGAGGCATGTTTGTTTTATAAAGAAGCTTTGAGGCAAATGTTTCTTTCTGACAATATATGAAAGATAAAGGTCTTCAAATTATAGTTTGTATGGTCATAATCTTATATATATTTTGTAAAGATATTTTACCTGAGAGAGACTTCGGGGGTATTATCTATTCAATAAGTTTTCGAATGTAACGGGAAGCTATTTAGTGGAAGGACACATTGCTCTCCTACCTCTTCTATAAATCAGTTGTACATTTCTGCAAAATCTTCATTAATAAATACTCTAACTTTGTGTACAAACACAGTTGTTCTTTTTAATTCAATTGATGTCTGAAAATACAAAGATCTATTTAATCCTTACTAATAATAATATTAGTCCAACACAATTTTAATTATCCCTCACTGACTCACAATTTTTTTACCCACACTAACTCATAAGAGTACTTTTTTAACTTTCTTTTTTGACACTTCACTATAATTTTGTGTGTGAAAGATTTTGCCAAATTAAAACTATCACTTTTAATTCCTATTTTTAACCTGCTACCTCAGTTAGAAATCTCTACCATATCAATACTGAGTACTTGATAATTTTACAGTTACAAAAATGCACTAAAGTAATGGAAAGGAGATTGTGATGTTGCTTTTTTAGCTAATCATCTACTGTCTGATGATATCAAGTTAGCTCTGTGATATTATTTAGTTTTAACTTTTCATCAAGTCCTGTATTTTTAACAATTTCTTAAGGGGATACCTCCTTCTAAGTCAAATATATAATATTTACTATCTCCTATCACTTACAGATTTTTCTAATTAAAAATAACTAAGTGGATGTAGCAATGTTCTTAAAGTGACTTAGGCAAAAATGTTTGTTATTTACCCCTTTCAGGTATACTGAAATTGTCAAATTATGACTTATGCAAGATAATTTTGTTGCATTGTTTTATTTTTTGCATATATCAGCTAATTCAGTTTTTCATCAAACAGTTCTTATCTAGTCCATGATAATGACTTCTATGATAATTTAGTTTACCTGTTTTCAGATCAGCTGAAACTAAACTTAAGTTTCTTATGGTGAATTATGATATAACACATTTACACAATTTATATCAAAACATCATCTTGGTTTGGACAAAGCTTCTTTATAAAACAAATTTTACAGCCAGATTTAAGTATAACCTTAATTTATAAATGAATGTGGTGTCTTGACTCACATTCATATTAGTACCATAAATAAACTCAAATAACCAACAATTGCATAAACAAATCTTCAAATCTGCTTTGAAAATATTTTAAAATGAAAGAAAAACATTTAATAGGAAATAACTTTTATCCACATTATCAGAACAGCTGATGTATTTTAATTGTTATCCTAGTGTAGATAACAAATAGCAATACAAAAAATGCACAAAACACTTACAGTTCTGTTAAAAATGAACTACAGTTTCCATACAATAATGTATTGAGCTCATACAAAATCAGTAGCTCACTTCTATATAAATGCTATTCTCATAAGATATCTTAATTGCCAAAACCTGACAAGCACAAAAGTCTTTTATTCAAAACTGATGTTTGCATTGCCAAAATCTGTTAATCTTTTAAACAAACTCTTTTGTACCATTACAGGACCTCTCTTTTTTTCCATGGTAATAAACTGATAGCTTAGAGTTTTAGCATGAGCATCAAGTTCTGCCTCAGGTTGCTTGGTTGCAGAACGACAAAGTAATTGTGTTTTCAAATAATTAAATGTCTTATCAAATACAATTCTTTCATTAGCATTAGACAATGTACACATAAGATTTGAAGGTGAGAGAATGGTCTTCATTCCTGTAATAAACAAAAGTATGTATGTAAATAAAAATTACAAACCACACATTCAATTAAGAAATATAGGTTACTTCATTTTTGTCATGTTAATTTTAAATGTTAAAAAAAAGTTCATTCAACCAAACTGATCAATCAAGCCAAAATATTTAATGGTATAGTTTTGGTTTTTAAAACATATAACTGATTTGTTTAAGTTTACACAACAACAATACAATTATGGTATTAACATGGAAAATGCTGTTACCCAGAAAAGACAAACAACTGGATAGAAAAGTACTAAACTTCAAAACAGTTAGTGGGAATGTACTTCACAAAATACAGAATGGACAAAATTACAGAATGCACCTAATAAAAGGGGGTTGAACCATCTCTGGCTTCAGTGATTCCACAAAATAGTGATGATACATCTGACAATATTTGGCACCAGTACTTCTGGAAATGCTCAATTGTTTTGAGAGCTAAAAAACTGTGGTGGCCATAGAAGGTGAGTGAAATCTATGTCATATCTCCAAAACCAGCTTGCATCACATGAGCCTAGTGGATGGTGGCAATGTTATCTTAAAACAATCCACCAGTTTCTGGATACATTAAAACAACACTGATGGGTACACTGCTTTGCCAGGATGCCTATATATTTCTTGAATGTCACCCACCCACATTCAAGGGGATAAGAGTTCCTAAGTCATTTAAGTTGGACATTCCACACACCATCATACCACCTCTAATAGCTTGAACTGGTGGAATAATGCACTGGGGTTTTCAAATGATTCATGGGGTTACCACCATATCTGAACCTTCCCATTTGTTCACAACAGTGTGAAACAAGATTCATCAGACCACATAGCCTTCTTTCATTGGTCTAGAGTACAATCTTTCTAGTCATGATACCACTTAAGGCAATTTTTGAGCTCTTGTCTGAGTTCAAGAGCTCACAAACAGGTATGCAATCTCAGTGCATTGATCTTGTGGATATAGTGTGATCTTGTCCGATGTTTCCACGATTTGTACAACTATTGCTTGCCAGTGGATGTTTTTCCCAATTTTTCCATTTCAGATAAACCTGAGAGACTATCTTGACATACAAATTTGTCTGTTTTACTTTTTCTTTGGGAATAATCCTGCATCACAGAATTCCACTACCATATCCCTTGTGAAGTTAACGAGATCCTTATGTTTACTCATGTTATACAGTGAATAGGGTTCACCTCTACAGCTAGTGTATAAATACATCTGACTGATCCAATAGAGCATCAAAAGATGATTTTGTTTGCACACTGGTTCTACAGAGCAGTGTAGCAATATAAGGAATTCTGTAATTCTTTGGCCAGTAAGTGTAAGCATATTTCATTAACTGATTAACAATGAATAAAATGCCCTAAGTATTGAACACACAGATATCAACATTTAATCATTAAAATTGGTAATGTAGAGTAGAATAAGTACAAGACCAAAATGTATCTGTTAGTTGCCTCTTTTAGAGTCAAACAATACTTTAAACCATTAAACCATGTATGAGTAGAAGAAATATGGTGTGTAACCTGCTGAGATAGCACTTCAGATTATGTAGAAAAAAATTTAGAAATACTTACAGTATAAAGCTAGGAAGAAGGATGAGATATCACTGATTAGAATTATTATCAGCTAAAAAACCAATGAAAAGTTGATTTCTGGTTCTAAGTTTTTTTAGTTTTTCCTCATAGTTTATCAGTTATTTTTTTTAAATACTATAAGTCTTGCTTAATCTTACAAATTCTCTTAGTATAATTTTAACAATGCATCAAAGAGTTTAAAATATTAAACATAAATACAATATTTCTCCAATAAATAAAACTAATATCATTACCAGAAAATGCATAAAACATACCTATAGACTGTCTTGCTGTACCAGTAGATGGGTGATTCATGGATATAGCTTCCTCTGAAACATCACCTTTTGTAACATAATTATGTTTTCTTGTTAAAAAAGATACCCGAGATGCTCTGCTCACTGTCTGACATTTTTTTTGCCTTCCGATATCTGCTGCCGACAAATCCTTCATTTGTGACACTGGTTCAAGAATGAATTTCTCATAATGAGGTAAATGTTTCTTACTTGACATATCTACATTTCTGACATCTTCAGAGCTAGAAGGACCTTTTACAGCTGGGTGTCCATAAGGTAGGAAATCACACTGTTTCAGAGATGTTACCATCCTTGATGCACCCAAATGCGATGGAGTCAAATGAACCTTTAAAGATTCTAGTGCTAGTTTATTTTTCTTTATCTGGGTTGTCATCAAACCACTCTTCTCTGTTTTACTACAATTAGGTGCAACCGATAAATTATTACTTATCTTTTTTATTCTGGTTGGTTTTCCTGAACAGTAGTTTGCTGAAGACTCTACACCTACAACAGTTTTATTTGTACATAGCACTGAATCCACATTAGCCACATGACATTGAGCTCTTATACGTCTCTTTTTATTTCTATTATTTCTGTAATTCTTCTTTTTCACTGTATTATTTAATGTTCTTTTTCCTAACTGGGGAGGGAAAGTAGGCAACATGGCTCGATTACCTGAATAGCATGGTACATTAACTTCCACCCTGCCAGAGCTTGTAAAATCAGTAGAATTACTTCTCCATTCTCCTGGAGCAGGTATAAGAAAATCAGATTTCTTGCAGAAGTTCAGTTTGAAAGGAGAGCTTGAAGAGTGGCCCATAAAGCCTAATTTTTTACTCCTGGAAGTACGAGTTTTTCTTGTACTTTCTTCATTCTCAACATCTCTCGCATAAACTTCTAATTCTTCACTAGACGGGTAGATGTCTTTATTCAGAGGCTTCCTAAAATTACAAGCCTTAGGAGATTCCTGCATAACCACTTGCAACTGCCCTAGTGATGCATGTAACTTTGTTGTTTGGAAAGTCGAAAGTGGAAGTGCAGACAAGTTCAACTGTCATTAATAGATGAAGAAATACAATTATCAAGATTTATTTATTTTCAAGTAAACAATAAAGAATAGACTGAAACTATTAAAAAGATTTATATTTCTATACACACACACACACACTGGCCGAGACTGTACAAAAGATGAGTAAGTTTTCTGGTGAAATGGACAGATAGTAATAGTCCTCACTTGAAGATTACAAAATTGGTTAAAAGTAAACACTAATATACTTTGTAATGTGATGATACAAAAATCAGTTTCCTGGAAATATTCAAGCTTTTGAAGAAAATTAAAATGTAAGGAAATCATTACTTTTCATCTGTATTTTGTTTCCTATTTCTAATATATGTACTGTCAAAATTCATCAAACTTTTAAAAGAATTAACTATTAATACAATTTGGGAATATAGCTGTCTTAGAGAATGTCAGGCAACCTCAAGTTACTTAGTTTTCAAGATAACAAAAAAGAAATACATTTATCATGTTCTTAATGTTATACACAGAAATAGTGTACACAAACAGGCATTGAGCTAATTTTTTCATTAAATTTCCTACAAAATTCTGAAATATTTTCTACAAACAAGTCAAGGTAATCTAACAGATCAATGGTATGTTTGGTGACTGACAAATAAACATGATTAGAGAGCTTTAAAAATTTACATTTTTCTTACCTACGTAAAAATTTATACCCTGTTTTGGCAAACAACTGTCTTATAAATTCTAAACAAACAAGACTTAAACTTAAAATATGTTATAGTTAATTTTTTTTAAACTAGCCATTGTAAGAACATTAGTTAATAAGAATACATAATTTATTCAGGGATATAGTATAAGAATAAACCTACAGATCTGTTTTTGAAAGTTTAATTCCCATATACTATAATTAAAATTATTGGACATTCAGAAGTGAAACTATTAAAAATTATAAGTTAAACATAAGAAAATTACAAGCTTTATAAAACTCACACTCTCCCATGCTTCAAGAAGTTGATACAAACAATAAGGGTTAACAATCAACATATTTTGTGTTCCTAGTGATGATAATTCAAGAGGAGGTGTCAGTCGACAGCTTAAAACAGAACTAATTCTTTCTCTAATGCTAAAGAGTGCTGTGGAGGTACTTTCAAGAAGCAAAATACCATGAGTATTTTCAGTTTGCACTTCCTGAAAAAATAAAATTTACAGAAAAGTTTAATTTCTGGCCACAATGTTCTGACTTAAAAACTTTTCATAGTTTATCTTCATACAACTTTAGAAAAATGAAAATAAAATTTTAAAATCTGAACAAATACCTCTGATGTTAAACTTGAAAATGAGATACCTAAAAGTTTCCAATCTTTCTGCCTAACACAAAACAACTGCTCTATCAAAGTACACTGACAAAAGAGACACTTTGTTTATAAACTGACTTAATGAGCCTCAACACAAAACAATTTTCTGGCTAGTTCTTGTTTCATAGGGAATCTAGGCAGCATATATATTACAGGTCTAGATTTTCTTTCTGGGGGAGGAGGTTTAAATGACTGATGTTTGAGCATTATACTAAGATGTCTTCTTTTGAATTTTAAGAAATTCTTATGTACTGGCTTTAATCTTTCTTTTCATATACTAATGCAATTACAGTCTAAGTATATCTGTACTTCATTTTCATCTCGTACAGTGTGGTTCTTAAGAAACTCATAATTAATTTATAAAAGTAAAAACTTAAATTTAAAAATCAATAATGTAAAACAAAGTTGTCAAAAACTGACTTAGTAGCAGTTCTAAGTAGAGCAATGTTTCCTAAAATATTCAATGAGTATCTAGCGAAACCACAGCCAAGGGAACGGGCTTGGAAAAATAAATTGGTGTTTCCTTTACTATAGTTTCTAATAGTTCTTTTTGTTAAAAAAAAAAAGATTTTACACAATTCATTAATCACAGGTTTACTATAAAAGCTTTCAATTCCTACTGAACTCTCTTGCATGTCAAGACTTTTTAAGTCAAGACAATTAAATTAAACTACCTTATTATCATTGTATATGAACAAAACTGGCATTGAAACATAGTTAATAAGTCAAATTTTAATACAAGTTTTTAATTTTATAAGGAAATATAAAAAAAATCCAGTTGATAAATTGATAGAAATGGGATAACGTCTTGGGTTAAAAGACAGTGAAGTACAAGAATTTGTCAATCAACAACAAAAGCTCGAGAGAGAAGAACAGCAACAGAAAAGACAAACTAAGAAAGAAGAATGAGAAAGATTGAAGGAAAAAGAAAAAATGAGAGAAAGGAAAGATGGGAAATGGAGAGAGAAAGAATAAGAAAACAAATTGAAAAAGAAGAGAGAAAGAGAAGAGACTAGAAATAAAGAGAATAAGAGCACAAATT